GAATACATGAATAATTACACAAAAAAAGCAGAAAAAAGGACGACAAAGCACAAATCAATAAATGCAATAAAATTAAAATTCCTTTAGATTTGCGTTCGTTTCCCGTGTAAAGTTGTCATCCGTCTGGCTATTTTTCATGGTTTCAGCGGACACTAAGACCGTGTTTTTCCGGCATTAAGAGCAAASCTTCCATTAGCAAAAGAACAATTATTTAAAGAACGCCTTCGTATCATGTTTCTGATTGGTTCTTTACAAAAAGGATTAAATCAGAGTTACCTAATGCGATTTTCATTCACAAATTAAATCCGCTTTCACAAACTGTCCATTTTGGCTTAGTGAGAAGCGATTTTCWGTTAATTTGTTCATTAAATCRAGGAAACAKAAATCCCTGAGGATTCAAATAAAATGTCATTATTTTGTTATTACGATCTTTGCCGACACAGGAATTACAATTTGACATTTAATGTGAGGTATTTCGCTTCCTCGAAGGCTTCCTCTACGAGTCCCACTGCATGTAAATATACAAAAACAAAAAACGAATTCGTGAGGTGAATTCAAAATTAAGGTCAGCATCGCTAGCCATGTTTAATGTAGATAATAACTATTGCTTGAAAGTGAAGTGACAAACTAAGGAATCCTTGTAAATGCACGCTTTACTCTAAGAAATAATGCATTAACTTTAACGGTTTGTAACCATTCTGATATTACATACTATTCATTCAAGTATCTCTTGCACAATTTCATTACAATGACTAGCATGGGATTTATTATTACCGAGATTAAAATAAGTTAATCTGCATTAATGAAGTAACAACGTTACGTTGCCAGTTCGGTGTGTATATGGAATGTGTGTATGGGGTGTATATATGGTTTGCTCTATATAAATGGGGTGTATAATTGCACATGTGCCTCTATACGTAAGTGTGCCAGATGTATAAAGTATTCTTATCACTTTTAGTCATTCATGAACAGTGAGTTGAATGGAGCTGCAGTTTAGAGGGTCATTGTGAATAGACAAAGGATATAGCATATAGAAATAGCAAAGGTCATAACATAGAGTAGGTCCGAAGAGGAAAAATTCATTAAAACAAGACAAAATTGGGGCGGGACAAGGATAGAATCGAAGGGAAACATTAAATACATCGGAGACTGTATGACAATGAAGGAATTATTAGGAGAGGAAGGAAAAGAGGGAGAGGAAAATGCTGTTATCGCGAAACTTTATCGATAAGCTAGATTTGTCAATCACTAGAGTGAAAAGCGGAGAAAACTGCCATTAGCACTTCATAWTTCATTCCTGACTAACTAACTTTTACTTTCCATATTTTACAACGAATGACACAATAATTATATTAACATCAGTGTTTGACTCATGATGACGAGGTCATTAAAAAATCATAACCTAATAATTGATACTTCTTACGTCATAAATTACTGCTAAATTTGCTTCATTGAATTACAAACTGTCAAAACTATAGCATCAGTATTTCACACTTATTCATTCCCATTTTTCAATTCATTTCCTTTTCATTCGTTTTTTCAATAGGGTATGTTAGTGGCAACTGACTTAGGTGTATTGGGTATGCTGTGTCCCGAGGCCTTCAGCGGTTGTTGTTATAATTAGTATCCTAGACTATTAATAATCTTTGTAGGCTATGATAAACAATACATTTTAGCTAGTGAACGTCATTAAAAAAGAAATATTTGTTCGTCTTGAATTTCAAAAAAAAAATTAATTGCAAATTACATAATTCAAGGTAAAAATAGACTGTATTTTTCCTTTCATTTTGATTAAAAAATCTAAWTGAAACATTGCGACATTTATTAATGMTACCGCTTTGACGATTAAAGTTTTGAGTTTTGAGTTTTGGCTGTTATTGTACGTAATTTTCAGCCAATAACCTCCCGCGGAGTCCGATATTGGTCATACCACAAAGAAGAAAGATGGTCAGGGTTTTGTACTATTAAGAAAACACTCGCTTACACACAGACAAATGAATGATTTTAATTTTTGTGTTGGTTTTGCGTTAACATTATTCACTTCAAACCAAAACTTCATCATGTTGAATTCCAAACATTCTSTTAACGCTGATTGGCTAGCTGTAGCATAGTTAAATATGGCTGTAGTTRAGATATTTTTCAATATATCTTGGTAGATACCTTAGATATCTCCTTTTAGAAATTATTCGTATTTCAAGTGATTGTCCATATAGGGGTATTGCCATGAAATATCGCAAGGGTGGTAAACTTTATCAATTTTTCGTGAGAGTTCCCTTCGTTCTGTGGGACGTCAATCTCGTAAATGCTCGAGCCATTTTTAAGGTGATTTTGTTATGAATAACTCGCTTAGCAACCATTGTCAAGGCACTGCGCAGGTGGCTTGTAGGTCTATTTTCAATTAACCTCGATGGACGCAGCTCGCCAAGGTTTGAATCGCTCCACTGGTTGAAATTRTTCCGATAAAGTGTATTTGTAAGAACCTCACAAACATCAAACAGCAAATCAGGATACAATGGCTGGCTAAAAGGGTTTATGATTTAAATATGAACCATGGCTGTTCAACATTGGCTTTAAACTAGCTTGCGTGTAATTGATCACTGTATCGCCAGTCAACAGATCACCAACACTACTTTGGACCCAGTATTTTCTCTTATTAAAATTAATGGCTTTTTCTCTACGCCTTAAGCCTGTTGCTGGACAAGTAGTCACTCYGATGCTATGCTAACCGATGCATGATTTTGCGAAACTGTACGTTGGAAAAACAGACAGTGTGTTTAGATGTGAAGGAATATGGCTTCCATTATGTTCTACAAGGTAGCTCATTCTGATGTGTTTTTCTAAACTGTATCTCTTGGAGTATATTAACTTACCAAAAAATACATATTTATACAGTGTTATATTCTCCCTCCATAGATTGGAATACTCTTATTTATCGCGGTGAAGACCGTATATTATATATCAGCTCAGCAAACTGGTAGGTCTAATAGACTAAACGCTTTGATCTTTTCCTCAAAACCAACGCATAAAAGTAACTTTTAAAGCGATGAAACAAACCAGAAAGTTACGTTAATGTTTTTATTATGATAGTTTTGCTTGAGATAAAGATTTCTTTCTGCTGTGTTCGTTTATATTCTATATTTTACTATTAAAAATCATCTTCCGGTTGCTGTTGTATTGATTTGTGCCATTTGCAAACAGAGATCAAAAATGGTTCATTGTGTAATCATTTACTTCGTAATACCCACAGAAATTCGGGGAAAACATGACTTTTGAGTCTCTTTCGACCCCCGTTTTTTTTGTTCAGTTAGAATAGCTTGGCGGTCAATACATCTAAACTTAGAATTCTGCGACCAGTAGAAGACACCGATAATGTGTTTTATTTAAATCTATTAATACCACATCGTTCGATCAGGAAGAACATTACAAGGAAGTTTAGATATCAAAAAAAATAAAGAATTTGAGTSATTTTCTTCTCGTATGTTTGTGAAATTCGTTAAAGGTAGTTAATGAAATATTTATCATTGCAAAACGCTTACAAATTCAAGACTGCAGTGCAAGAGCCGTTTGTAAAACCGTGGGAATCGTTTTGGTAGCAAAAACACTTTTTCTTCTTGTCAAAATATACAGGAAGAAGCTTCGTATCTTTTTAGTTCGAAAATTTCTCTTTGCTTTTTCTTGTCTATAAAGACAGAAAGATGGCGCCAAACTTCCAAAAACAGAACAAATTATCCCCTTGACGATTGTTTCAACGCCAGATTTCTTTTTAAGACGTTCTGACATYTCAAAGATAGTCAGGTTGTCTGCAACTGTTGTGATAACGATTTGACGTTTATTTAACCTCTCAGACTTCAAAACTCATGATCTAAATCCAAAGTTTTGAGTTGTTTTTGGGCGGCTGGGGAGTACAGCATATTTTAGATTCACATAACACTGTCATGCAAGATTAATGAAGGAAGTTTGTAATTTTGGTTATGTGTTAGGACAATAAGGATTGTTTATGCTCGGCAAAGATTTAGCACAATTAGTAATATAGTTTTGACTCTTATTTCTTGTCGAGTAATCTTAAGGGTTTAAATGACTTCCACGTTGATTCTTTTCGCCCAGAATGAAACACAAATAATGGTAAAAAAACAACCTATCATTCCGAGTCTGAATTACAAAACTTTATAGACACTCTTATTAGAATAAGAATAGATATAATTTTAGATTAAAACGCCGAAGTCTTGATGGACAGTAATTGATAACAAAATTAGTTTTAAGAAAAAGACAAATTTGATCGCAAATAAAAAAGAAGAAATTTGAAATGAAATATTAAAGACTTTAAAGGCACAGAAAATGAGAACATTGAGATCGTGGCGGGAGAAAAGAGTGAGAAAATTATTTCACAATAAAATAAAAAATGAGTGGGATAGAAATAGTAATAAAAATGAAATTAAAAATGGGAAATACATAGGAAATGGGAAGAACGTGATGGCCGATGTTTACCGAACAAAATTAGAAAATTCATCGATATAAAGGTCCGAATAAGAGGCTGTATCTCAAAAAAGATCCCTGGCAGGAGGGCTAATTTCTTCGAACTCAAATTAATTTTTTTCATTTTTTGATAAAAAAATGGTTTTATTTATTAATTTGCATGTTCGAAAATCAAAACTATCATTCATTTTTTTGTATATATCCCTTTTTTTCGATTATTTTCAATATCTTTTCCATTTTTCGATTACTTTTCCTTTTTTTTCTTTAAATAAATAAAATCCATACATGCGGGCTATATCAAAACAACTGCCGGAAATATAACATACTTTTTACTGAAATCGTTTTTACAACATCAACGGAATTCAGTTTTCAATGATGGTTTTGAAACAACGAAATTCCACGAAAAGAAACAACGAAACTGAATTTCATCATTTGACGCTACATTAACTTTAACAGTTCAGAAAGGAAAGCTTCAAATATTTATGAATCCACTAGTTTTGACTCACGTCTCCCTATTTCTTAATTACTTGGAATAGTTCTAGTTACTGCTTACATTCAAAATTCATTAAGCTTTGATTCTGCACTGTTAAACCTTGTACGTAAACAGAAAAAAATAACATTTTATTGTGGTTGCTTTTATAGAGTCCATGATTTCCATTTTACAGAGTCATATCAATCAATCATCTAAATTTACCTTTGACACAGTCGATGAGAATTTCAGAACAAAGTCAAAAGCTTTAGGGTCCGTTTCAAGATCATTTCATTAGTCGTCACATGTACTAGATTTCAAGAATATCTTAAGTTACATTACAATCAATTTTGTATACGGAGTTGAATTGTGCTACTCAAGCAGAAAGTAATAAATGTTTTATCTTAACATTTCACGCAAAAAATGCTCATTTACGATTTATCAATTGTTATTCCAGAAATTCGTGTCCCAAAAGTGGGTAATGTAGTAAACGAATTTATATGTCAAGGCAAGAGCAAAAACCTGTCCTGCTCCAACGAGACGGAGGTTATGGTAATCTACAGGGCGCAGTACGGCCGAGAGAAAGAAGGAAGAGTCATTTGTCGTTATGATCCGTTCCTTAAGAAACAAGATAAAGATGATCCGTTCCTTGAGAAACAAGATAAAGATGATAAAGATACGAAATGTGGTCTTTTTGACGTTACCGAGGCAGTCAGCAATCTTTGCCACAAGGAAAGCCTCTGTGACGTGCCCTCAAAAAATGAGATCCTTGGACGACCATGTAAAGGAGTTTATAAATATCTGGTAATAATGTATGCTTGCGGTAAGAAAAACAACAACTTAATAGTGTTATATTCACATTATCAAATATTCATAATTATCTAAAGAAGTGTTAGAAGAGTTATCCTCCGTCAACGAATTTATTCTGAAAAAAAAGAAAGGAAAGAGGTCGAAATCTTTTCTTAAATACCGCCACGTTTGCTATTCTTTCGCTGAATACCAATAATTATCATTCTATTAATCTAATAGACTTTGGTCTTACTAAATACAATAATCTAGGAAGGCTTTTTCTTGTTACTGACGCAAGCTTTTATGTAAACCAAGTCTTTCTCGAAAAAGTAGGTGACGTAAGCAATTGCAAAGCATCATGGGTGTGATTTTGACCAATCAGATTTAACATCGAATAGGGAGCGATATATTGACAATCTGAAAACCTCATAAATAGCCAATCCCAATATAGAAGAGAGACAAAAAGTTAGGAAAGAATTCAAATACTTTGGACTCATATGCTAGTTTTTTTGTCATGAAAAATCCATATTCTTATATTTCAATCATGTTGTACTCTCGTATCTTTTCACAGTTATAAATCTATCCTTTTTTATACTTTACTGCTTTAGTGGAACAATTTTTGTTTAGATGACCGAAAAAATAATGCAATTATCGGAAAATAAGACAAAACAACAATAGAATATCTGTAAAAATAATTGATGATTTTGTTATGTTGAGGCGGCAAACTATAAAGCAAATTCAGGAAAAAACATCAATAATTCATGATAGGAATGCGATCCTCACCAGTTTATAAATGACGGCGATAGCTTTCTACTTATTGGTTTGTTAGAATTATAAAAACCTTTTTTAAAGTTTTGAATCTGTTTTAAGCTATTATTTTATTGGTATAAACTGGAAGAACAAAATAGTCAATTATAGTATTGATGAGTTATGATAGCGCTACGTATTTACAGCAACGTCATTTTGGACAGCAAAGCATCAAGGGAAATGTAGGACCTGCAAAGTCGTATTTATGATTTCTTTATAAAAACGACGCATCTACCAAACGGAATAAAAGCGTAAAAAGACTACATCTCTCCCATCATGCTTTGGTGTCGTTCGTCCTAACATTCTAGTAGGTAGTTTTTCCGTATCATTTTTTTGTGCCTTGACTTTCAGTGAAGGATTTCTCCACTACACCACAGCCTCAATCAACATCACACCCCGATCACAGTCTTAGTGCTATGCTCACTCCCAGTCCGGGCTGGCAAAATGGATCGTTACCCATAACTAAAGCCATACTGGCTGATTGTAAGATTTTTTCAGCATTTCGTATTGATTCCGTTCTATTTCTTTGCTTTGATTGCATAAATTTTAACATCTTTTTCATTTTTCTTTCATTTCTTTATCTTGCATTGAATTTGTAATTTGATTTCGCATTTCATTGTTCTCATTCCACTTTTTTTTTCATTCTTAATGACTTTGCTTGGACTGTCAAAAGAAACTCAATTTAAAAGAAACTGCCATTTTGTCACTAAACTCGACTGTTGCTTTGCAATGCTTTAATACTCRACTTCAAACAATGCCATACGTAAGCTGACTGGACATCTGATAAAATGCTTTAAACTTGTACGCGTTTACCAGCCATATATGGCAATCTTACCTTATTTAGAAGTACATGTGGACTCGTTTTTGGTGACGTTCTCGATATTTAAGCATTAAATCGTCTAAAACTTGCATATATTATAGTGAAAGATCCTCAACCATTGGTGGCCATCTTGGTTGTTTCCATATATGGCATTGATTTGGCAAAGGAAGCCCAAACCTGAGAGGCACAGGGATCCCAAACGAAWATAAAGATTTTTTAGCTTTATAGTCCAATTTCTGTGACTTGTACACTCGATTTAGTAAACACTTTTAGGATTGTAGAACACAGGTGTTGAGAGGGAAAAAAAACATGGGACGAACAACATATAGAAATTACTTTTTAGTTTGCTCTTAAATATAATTCGTACTGTGGTCACATGACCTTTCATTCTCACCTTTTGCATTCTCTGATTATGATACTGACAATGCTTTTTCGATTGAGCGTATTCAAGTAGTAGACGATTGAACAAGACATGATGGGATTCCTGTGTACAGAATCCCACCACAGGAAACCCAAATACAATTATCGTAAAAACTATAACAATTCCCAACGTTCTTCCTCCACAGGTTTTCCGCACTATGTAAGACTAAACGCAACGAGTAACACAACAGCATTAGGTCCTAACGCAACCAGTAACGGAAGCAACGTGATTACATTGACATCCAAACCGCCCACGATGCTTAACGCAACAGTTATTTTACCGGTTGTTACCGCAATACGTAGACGAACTCCTCTCCCACGAAGTACGGCGAGTTACGTTACACCTTACGTAAGGGGAAAGCAGTCAAACGCGTTAGAATTGGGAATATCTGGAAGGTTATTAATATGGTTTCTTCATTTCAGGGGTAAGATAGCTGCTACGCCTGCGCAGACAACGTGATTTGATTGGTTGAGAGGTGCAGCAGCTCATTTTACTTCAGTTATGTTATTATTCTTTCGATTTTGAGTTGAGGCAGTTTTTTTCCAGTTAACAACGCTAACATTTCCAGGAAAATTTGCTTTTGTAGTCATTTCAGTTTCGTTATAAACAGGTCAGTGGTTTGTTTATTTTCATCTTCGACCATGCGCGTTGACTGCGTTCCCAGAGATCCTTTGCACTAGTCTCTTTGTTTACTGCACTAGTTACGTGAACACGCACTGAACGCACATGTTAACGGAGCTCATCACCAAGGTAACCCGAACTATTGCACGTGAGAATGAGTGTGATCATTATGTTGCTGGGTGACAAGGTGTTGACCGCTGATCTTATAATCATGTGAACACCCCATACTACCGCTCTCCATATTTGTCCATTTCACATGATCAATCACGTGGTCTACAACAGTTTGTCACATGACGAGTTTTCTAATATGAGTGGGTTAATACTAACTCTAATACTAACCATGCAACTGCACTCGTTTTCCTCCATTTTTTTCATTTCATTTCATTTCATTTCTGCACTGTTCTGTTTCTGTTGTTTATTCAGTGATTGTTGTCCTTTGCATGTGTCCACGAGTAAAATATATTCCTTAGAGTGACTAGAATATACTATTGTGATTCACAGCAAATGAGACATCATACGTGGCAGTTTTCGTCGTAGCAGCTCTTTGTGCAGTTGTTCTATTCGGTATCGTGTTTGGTCGATGTTGGTACCTTAGACGAAGAACCAAATCTCAAAACTTCGCCGTCCTTCATAAACCCAAGCGATTTTTTGACCCAACAATGAACTACAAGCAGTCAAACGGCCATGCAGGACGAAGAGCGTCACGTGATCAGGCTAATGAGGAGCTGTTGACAGAGAAGACCACGCCTAGTAAAACTGAGGTCGTGATAACTCGTGCTGACGTCGAAACTACTCAACCAAGTCGACGACCATCACGAAGTGAAGGAGAAAGCAGTCTATCAAACAGAAGCAAACAAGTGTAGGTTGCTGCCAAATGAACGATAACAATTATAATTTCTAATTGAACATGGAAAGTTAGGTTAATCGAACTTCTATGAGGCTTGAAAGCTAAACTGTTTTTATTATCGTAAGTTTTAGAAATGTTTTCCGAGGTAAAATGTCATTTTTATCTTTCAGTACAACAAGCGTTGCAGATGAAGGAGATGGTAATAAGCCAGACAATTCAACATTTTACGTGAATCCAATGTATGACAAAAACCGCGCCGGCAATACTAGTGCGTCAGCGTCAAATATCCACCCACGTGTACCCGCTACTCACCGATTAAGCAATGCTTCTGAGCCAGGCAAAAGTAGTACTATGGGGTCCCCTGCTCGATCATTAAGTAAACAGCAAATGAGATGCAACAGCATGGGTAACCTACCTCGATCTCATCACTCATCGATGCAGCGTAGACATCCAAGCGCGGGTAACGTAGCAGCCAATAAGGATGGATTAACTTTTGAACCGCTGACCTATCCACCCAAGGGCTCACAACACTCACAACAAGGTCATATGTATAACTCGCCGCAGTTACAACCCTACCAAAGTCAAGGCAGCTATCAAGGACAAGGTCAAGGCGGTTATCAAGGCCAGCCACCCGGGACTCATAGACAACCACCCGGAACCCCTAGTCGAGCAGGGCCTGGGGGATACCCTAAAAGCCCCATATCACCGAGGCCTGGTATGAGCGGGCAACCAATGGGATCTCCTGCCAAAGCTCCTCAAAGAAATCGTCCAATGGGACCCGGAGGTGTCCCTTATCAATCCCCTGGACCCCCGGCAATGAAAGGCACTCGACCAAATAGCCCTTATGAATATGGCACTACGGAGAATACCCCTCGAGGAGACATGGATACCGGACGTCGTTATCACGGTAACGAGGCGCCGCAATGGGAAAGTAATCCACATGGAGATCGAGTTGGAATAACAGTTAATCCATCCCAAAGTTCCAACGGGCCTGCACATTACCGCAGTAACGGTAGACTTCACAGACGAGAGAGCTACGAGAATATAAAACCATTTGATAATCTACCAGATCCCATGCTTCACGGTGAGCATAGGCCGGGGGAGACTAGAAAAAGGCTAGCTAACCCCACCGTCACAGATCCTCTGATTTCTCCACTCGATACAGCTCCAGTTGGATCTAATAGGTTTCGTTCTCATGAAAGGGGACGACAGCAGGGATATCAATACCCTGCCCCCCCGGACCAGGGAAGTGACAGTTCTGATGATGACTTGTATAGCCTTGTTGCTAAGGGCAACTATGATTCAGTAATTAACGATCCGTTGAACGTTCGGCAAACGTTTAGATCGGAAAATAAAAAACATCGGCATCCTGTCGGCAAGCACTCGGCGGGCCGAGCTCCAGGTCGTATGTTCAGTGACACATCCGTTTAAATTACGTACGAACTTCAATTTCTCCGAAAGGATACGATAATTTATGATATGAATATTTAGGGTTTACGAAAAATTTACGAACATTCAGAGGGTTCACGACAATTAGCCAAACTTTGAACCGTCGAACGCTATTGCTTCTTCATCCATTAAACAGTTAGCAATTATTCAAATTTCAAAACGCTGGCGTTTTACAGCGATTGGTGCTTATTTAACACGTGACTTTGATTGATTGACAATGTCTGTTATCCATAACCTGTCTTACATTTCCAGGTTTTCTATTTGAGCTATTCGTGTGTCTATTTTATCTAGTTGTCGTGTTATTAAGTCAGGTCGGTAGGCTGTGTTTTCCCCAACAAAATACACCAGTTCCTAGTACCGSGGTTTGCTCGAGATGTAAGGTGCATGGGTTCTAGTATAATCCATATAAGGTTCGTCTTTGTTACTCATTGGCTTTCTTTTCTCGTTTTAGAAGAAACTAAGCTCAACGGGAGAAACTACCAAGACCAACCCCCTGGGGGGGAGAACACAGTCGGCCGCCTCGACACGATAAAAATGTCGATATCTCAGAGGATGGAAGCTCTGTTCACTTGATGACAAAGGGATGCTTGCATACTAATGAAATCACTAACGTACCACGTGACTAACGTGACGTAACAAAGAAGGCCAGGTTCCTAACCTAATGACGTAATGTAACTAGACTAACCAAATAATGATAGAAAGAAAAATAGTCCGCAATCAAGTTGGTCAGCGGTAGATCAGAAATTGAATTCGTCATAATTATATAAATCGGTAAATCGATTCTTGATGTTAATGTCAATAGTTTTTCCATTTCCTTGTTATTATAGTCCTTTCTAATATAAAAAAAACAATTCTAATCAACTGGGTCCATTTTTGCTGACATGAAAACGAGTCTGTTTTGTTCTTAATTTTCAAATAATAATAGCGACTATGGCGGCACGGAAGAGTGCAACCCTCGTTTTCATGCTTAGGTCCCAGTCCCTTTGTAAGTTATATGAACGATGGGAGACTAGTAATCAAGAATAAAGTGATTGGTGCAAAAAGTAATTGTTTTATCAGGAGAATATTCATATGGATTAATAAAACAGACTAATATCTCTTTGATGATATAAATAACCAATTAATTCATTAACTCATAATTGATAGTAACGTTTTTTTTATCAATAAAACAATGTCGCTGAGCTCACTAATTCTACCTAATGTCAACAAAGCAGAGCTGTTCGCCATCCTAGTAAAACCTATTATATTATTAGGTGTGTTTTTGAGTGTAAACCCTTACTTGGGTCATGATCGTGGAAAAAAGGAACGATGTTCACCCGTTCTGCATGAACTATATGTTCAGAAATATTATAACTAAATTATGTTGTTTTGTACATATTTCTGCACGGTCTAAACCACCAAGATTATCCCACATTCAAAAGAATACGGTCAAGATCCATGGTCTAACCGACAAACAACTCTCAAAATGAGCAATTTTTCACAGTATTTTGTAGTATCCTACCATCATGAAGATAAATGTGCTATAGCCCACCAAAATCGCTCAAAACAACCAATTCTTGACCATATCCATGAGTATGTTACCTCCAAAATGACGCATTTTTGATCAAAATGCATGGGCTATAGCACACCAAAATCGCCCAAATTGACACATTTTTGATCAAAATGCATGGGCTATAGCACACCAAAATCGCTGAAAATAACCCATTTTTGACCGTATCCATGAGTATGTTACCCCCAAAATGACCCTTTTTGATCAAAATGCATGGGCTATAGCCCACCAAAATCGCTGAAAACAAAAATTATGTTCACAACATAATTCAATTTTTGCCTCACGATACCTGTTTTATCTTCGGCTGTGTGACCTGGGTACGAGGTGGTCACGTGGAAGTGCATATAAATACTTGGTGTGTGAATACACACAGCCTCTTTCTGCCCTATACACCAACTTGAGTGCTAAAASAAGAGAAAGCTTTGAAAATTTTTTCAGGCAAGTTGTTTTTAATTTTCTTAATACTTTCTGTATGGATGAGCCACGTGTTATGATACTAGGTCATTCTTTCATCGCGAGACTTCGCAAATTTGTATTAGATAATGGTCCCAAGTTTAAGCTAAACTTCGGCTTATCCAAACCAGTTACCGTAAGTTGGCTCGGAAACGGGGGTCGCACTGTTGCGAAGCTTTGTAAATATGATCTGGTTGAAGTAGCACGTTTTCGACCTGATATTATTTTCATCCAGATCGGTACCAACGATCTTACCCTCCGCGGCATGACTCCTTTAGGCGTTGGCTCTGCCATAGAAGATCTTGTTCGTTGCCTTCACGACGAATATGGAGTCCGCCACATTTGTATAGGGCAAACGGTGCGCAGGCGTCCTKTAAAAAMCTTCAATGACAATGTTAAATTGCTTGCGAACTATCTCAAAACTGTACTTGAGCCTCTCCCTTATGCTACTTATTGGACGCATAGAGGGTTTTGGCGTGCTCCCAGTTCATATCTATCGTACGATGGGGTACATTTAAACGAAGAGGGGCAGATTAAATTTTATCGAAGTATACGGGGGGCAGTTTTGCAGTGTTTAAAGCGGGATTTTTGAGTCATTATTGTTGGGATTGTTGGCATTCCATTGTGACGCCCTTCCCTAGCTAGATATTTGATATTTTAGGCCGCTGTAGTCTGTTATTTGTCATAACCATGTGCCTTTGCATATTCTTTATTGTGGGRTTGTTGGCATTCCRTTGTGACGCCCATCCTATTTTGTGGTTGTTGGCATTCCATTGTGACGCCCATCCCAATTTTTGACATGCCGCCATGGTTTATGCGTATCGCGTTCCTATTGTTTGCCAAGGAGTGTTATCTCGGCAGCCAATGTGGCGCGCCAAATCACTCGGCACTTAACGCTTGGATTTTATGGTATTTTTACGACTCAATTTGTAAGGCCTTTATTAATTTTATGGTTTATACTGCCCTCCTGATGCTTTTGGAACCCCTCCCCCCCTTTTCATTTCAGCATTTAATTTCATGGTGCTTGTTTAGGGACAAGCTTTTATATTTATAAGACATTCTAACGAAGTTTTGCAGGAACATGCCTCCAATTCGACGAAGCCAGCGTGACGGCCCAGCCAACGAAGAGGGACATCGCGAGGATGTTAACATTCAGTTTGTCCCAGATCCCGTGGAAATCCCTCCCCAAGACGCTGGGGCTGACCCCGTGGAAATCCTTCCCCAAGAAGCTGTGGCCGACGCGGAGCCTAATGCGAATCCTGTCAACGATGCSATGCTTGCCACTATCGTCGCCGCTGTTAGGACTGSCATCCAGGAGACCAACCAGGTTCAGGTGCCTGCAGTTCAGGCAGCGGTGCAAAATGAGGTCACGGCTATCACCCGGCCCTCAAACCRTGTCGCGGCTGKCAATACAGGTAGTACGTTAGTCCCCAACGCGCCTGTCTTTACTAGCATTTCTGTTCCGCTGGGCAGTCGTGCCAGCGCTAGNGACCAAAAATGGCCGATTTTTGACCAAAATGCATGGACTATAGCCCACCAAAATGACCAAAAATGGCCGATTTTTGACCAAAATGCATGGACTATAGCCCACCAAAATGACCAAAAATGGCCGATTTTTGACCAAAATGCATGGACTATAGCCCACCAAAATGACCAAAAATGGCCGATTTTTGACCAAAATGCATGGACTATAGCCCACCAAAATGACCAAAAATGGCCGATTTTTGACCAAAATGCATGGACTATAGCCCACCAAAATGACCAAAAATGGCCGATTTTTGACCAAAATGCATGGACTATAGCCCACCAAAATGACCAAAAATGGCCGATTTTTGACCAAAATGAATGGACTATAGCCCACCAAAATGACCAAAAATGGCCGATTTTGGACCAAAATGCATGGACTATAGCCCACCAAAATGACCAAAAATGACCTATTTTTGATCAAAATACATGGACTATAACTCATCAAAATCGCTGAAAAATACCCATTTTTGACCATATCCATGAGTATGTTACCCTCAAAATCACCCTTTTTTGATCAAAATGCATGGGCTATAGCCCACCAAAATCGCTTAAATTGACCCATTTTTGATCAAAATGCATGGCCTATAGCTCACCAATATCGCTGAAAATGACCCATTTTTGACCATATCGATCCATGAGTATGTTACCCTCAAAATGACCCTTTTTTGATCAAAATGCATAGGSTATAGCCCATGAAAATCGCTGAAAATGCCTCATTTTTGATCAAAATTCATGGCTCACCAAAATCGTTCTAAATGACCCCTTCAATGCAAAAAGTTAAGGATAATAAGGTGATTGGGTATAGAATGCTCTAAAAACGATCCTTGATTTTTTGGATAGAAAAAATAGAAGCTGTATTTCAGCATATGAATGAATTGCTGACACGTTTATTGGATACTTACGTCACTGTATTTAAATTATCCTAATTATCAACATTAATGCTACAGCCACTGACTGCATTTCAATGAAAAGTGTATATCAGCAATCAATACCATGTAATTTATTTCAAAACAAATTGATCAGCATATGTAATTTACCCTATTTCGCATCATTTATTCCCCATATATACATGATGTGAGGTCATAATGGGACAGGGGTATTATATAGTTTCATTTTTTGTTTTTGGTTTGCTAGCAAGGTTAATTTGCCTATTTATGGGTTAAAAGTTAAATATTCTCTGAACTTTGTGTATGTTTATTAGATACATTTGTGGTTTTTGTTATATGTGTGTCAGTATTATGTATTCTTGCTTGTTGTAAATAGTTCGTCTTTATATTCATTTTTTACTAAATAAAATGTTTTTGATTCAGTCAGCTCGGGATCCCTGTGTTGATATCAATTATACATACAAATAGTCCCAAATTTCTTTCTAATGACATTGATCAGGCAGCAGCCACTTGATTCCGTATCCCTTGTCGATGTTCGCTGYACCTGCACTTCACATGCAGTACAGAGCATGCTATGACAGTCTCTCCAGTTGGTATTTACTTCAAACATTTGTTCGTTGATGTTCTTGGTTGTGTCTTCGTCGGACGATTGAGTAGTAATTTCTTTGCCGACCTCGTAGATATGATCAACTTGTTTTTGCTTATTGTCTAGATCATCGTATCTTTCCTGTTTGGAGATTACACACGACAACATCAATGCCTATTATAAGTGGATGGGAGTTTTTTTTACACTCATCAATTCATTTATTCGTTCACTTTTCAGCAATCTCTTTCTTTCTCATATTCCTTCATTCTCTAACCCCTCTATCTCTTTTTGCATTTATTTATTCATCCGTTTTTCAGAAATCTCTTTCCTTTTCATGTCCTCTCTCTTTTATCACTCCCTTTATCTTTTCCCATTTATTCATTCCTCCATTTTTCAGCAATCTATTTCCTTCTCCTTTCCATCCATTTTTTAATCCCATTCATTTATTGCTTTTGTCCCATACCTCTACTTTTTCTTGCAGCAACCAAGCGTCTTTATCGTGCATACTCTTGTAAAAATCGTCGCACATCTTATACGACTCGGTCATCCAGTCGTTGATACCCTTCACCTCTTTGTTGAATTCTCTCACTTTTGAAGCTAGATCAGTCTGCAAAATAGGCATTATAACTGAGATTATCATCACCATCATACTCGGCATCATTATCATAGTCGGCAACATCATATTCACCTCAAGTTCGTTTGTAGGTGAGACGCTATGCTCTTCGTCAAAGCCTTCGTCTTTAGGCTGAGAAAAAACTTCATCGGGAAAAGCTTCGAGCTCTTCTTCAACCTCGCTGGCTTCGATGACTTCAGCGGTTACTTCAGGAGCACTTTTACTTAATGCATCTTTTAACCTGCGAGTGGAATAAAACACGAATCCAAACGATTAAGAATATATTAATCAATAAACCTATTAATTAAGCCACCAGCTCACTAATCAACACACCAACAAACCGACCAACCCTACACCAAACCGAACCACCAACAAACCAACTACCCATACACCAACTAACCCACCAACAAACCGACCAACCCTACACCAACTAACCCACCAACAAACCGACCAACCCTACACCAACTAACCCACCAACAAACCGACCAACCCTACACCAACTAACCCACCAACAAACCGACCAACCCTACACCAACCAACCCACCAACAAACCGACCAACCCTACACCAACTAACCATACACCAACTAACCATACACCAACAAACCGACCAACCCACCAACCAACCCACCAACTAACCATACACCAACAAACCGACCAACCATGCACCAACCAACCCACCAAATATACAACCAACCGACCCACCAACTAACCCACCAACTAACCATACACCAACTAACCAACCAACAAACCGAGCAACCATACACCAACCAACCCAACAACTATCTCACCAACCGTACACCAAACCAAAAAACCAATCAACTAAGCAACTAAATAAACAACCCACTGTCAAACAATCGACCCACTGTCAAACACATCAACCCACCAACTAACACATCAACCCACCAACTAACACATCAACCCACCAATATATTAACCATAAACAAACCAAACCACGAACTAAATAAACACCCAACTATTAATCGAAACACACTTCAACCAATCAATCCACCTTCCCAACAAACTACTGTGTTACTAGGCAAACTACTGCGTTACTAGGCAAACTACTGTGTTACTAGGCAAACTACTTCCTATCTGTCTAGTAAAGGAATCAACGAGTCCGAGTCTGAGTCCATACCTCTGTTCATTGTCTATATTGCTTTGTTTCAGATTGTGAAGCCGCTGTTCCATGAGATCCATGTCTTCGTCGTTGAAAGGAACGTCCTGGTCTGTCAAAGCTTCATCTTTTAAGATCGTTTTGCCAAGCATTGCAGCAGTTTTCACTTTCTGCTCATTGTCGATGGTATCTTTTGTAAGACGCTTAAAATCCAAGGAGTAGAACAAATGAATTTTTGACATTAAGCTGTATGTAATCAAGACGTCTCTTTTTTGGATATTTTTTATGACTTAATGAATCAAGAGAGAGAAGAACCTATCAATAAAGTAGTGGATGTTTTAATAAATGAATAAATTAATTAACTAGGAAAGATGGATGGATTGAGGTCATTATATACCTCTTGTTTTGCAAGCACTTTTTCCAAGTTTTTCGTACTTGTGTCCAGTCCATTGGTGTTTCTGACGACAGCAGCACGTGACTCTGCATCGTTAAGCCAATCATTAGCGTCATCTATTACCTCATTGCTGTAAACAAGGAGTCCCTTCAATATTCTATTAAAAAGAAGAAATCATTTATCAGAACCATAGAAAGATTGGATACTTGTGCGCATGCGCAAATATATGTTTGTATAAACAATCTACAGTCTGTTGCTATAGTAACCTTTGTTTACTGCCATCGTGTTCCCTCCACAGTTCCTTGTATCTCCATTCCATTTCCTTCAAATGGTAGCTAATCCTAGTTTTGTTGTTTTCGTCAAGCATGTTTTCATCGCAGGCCTCACTAAACTGTTTCGTAATCTGTTGAAATTTGTTCTCTTCTTCTTCGAGTCTTTCTTCGAAAACCTGCAATACATTAAGTGGTTGATAACTTTATTAGGAGACTATTATGCCTTCCTGGAGTGTTGGCTTTGTTGTTGATTGCTTAACCGTGGAAACACGAGTATTTTCAATTGTTCTGCAGCACATTTATCCGTTTTGCTTGGTTGTAACTCAAGGCTTTGGATCACAACATAGTATTCAACTTATAAACAAAATAACCAAGGGTCATTTTACTTCAAATGAAGTACCACAAAGTTGCATTTTTCTATTTTTAAACTAGACTTTTTATCATGATAGTTTCAAGAATATGTTTGTACATACTTGGTATCACAAGTACCACAAAGTTGCATTTTTCTATTTTGAAACTAGACTTTTTATCAATAGTTTCAAGAATCAAAAGAATATGTTTGTGCATACTTGGAGGTCTTTGATTTGTGTTTGTACTTGTTGAACGTCTGATCCAACAGCAGAAAAGTTCTCCAGAGACATGTTGTCCAGTTCGTTCAGGTTTTGCTCGCAGTCTGACACAGATTGGTTCATTAGGTTTGCTGTGGATCGCTGAAGTCTACAAATAAATCCACATAATACACTAAATCCATGTGAAGGAGTCATCCATCCGTCCATGCATTAATTCATTCCCTCAATCCCTTTTCTTTCTCGTTCCTTCTTTCCTTTTCTTACTTCATGTTTTATACGACTTCTTCTTAAGTTAATCCATGCTTCCCTTCTTTACTTCAATTTTCTTGCTTTTTAACTCCTTTCTTCTTTCTTTCCTTCCAAACCTTCTCTCCTTTCCTTCTGTACTTCATGCCTTAGCTTCCTTCTTAATATTCTCCTTCACTGTTCCCTGCGCCATCTTGAAAGGTAGCCGTGCCTTTACATCAAAGCGAGACAACCGTTGAGCGTGCAATGATAGAAATCTGTGAATAATTGTCTGTAGGTGTGAAAGAAGGTTTCTATCATTGCACGCTCAACGGTCGTCTCGCTTCGATGCAAAGGCACGGCTACCTTTAAAGATGGCGCAAGTAACCGTGAAGAAGACTATTAACATCCTCCCTCACTCACTTGTTCCCTTGTTTTCTTGCCTTCCTTCTTTCTTTCCTTTTCTAACTACATTGCCATCTTCCTTCTTAGGATGCTTCCTTCCATCATCCTTTGTCCTTTCCAGCTTAACCTCCCTCCCTACTTCCCTCGAAGTATCCTCTTATCGTTCACACTTACCTCTCTTTTTGTTTCTTGACAATCTCTTCGAGTCCCGACATCTTATCATGAAGTACATTGACTGTTGTTTGAACTTCTTGATCATCGTCTTGTGAAAGTGTTTTCTTTGTCTTCCATGCTGCACCAGCAGAAGACACTTCCGTGAGTTCCTCGCTACTCTGGTTCAAGAGATGCTGTTCGATTCCCTGGAGATTCATATGAAAGAATTACCTCAGAAAAMATTGTCTTCGTTTAGCAGCCATATAACCTTATATGGAAGTACGTGTAGATAGGTTTTTGGCGATTTTTGAAATTGTCTGAAACTTGCAGATATTATAGCGAAAACACGTCTAAACAATCGTCCATTTTGTTTGTTTATATGGCATAGATTTGCTAAAGAAAGCTCGAAACTAAAATGCACAAGGGTCCCGCACGAATGATATACAATTCTTTGCAGCACTGATCTGCCACAAGTACTATTGAAACTCTCATTTTTTTAAAATATTTAAAATATGTCAACGGTATTGTGGAATACTGATGTCTGTTCCTAACCTGAATGTCTTTAGTGCATTGCTTTAGTGTTTCGTATTTGTTGTCATTCTGAAGTCGAGAGTCGATCTCGTCCAAGTTGTCCTGGGAATGAGTCAGCGACTTGCTAAGATTTTCAGCTTTTTGTCGCCATGGTTCAAGATCTTCCGTTGTATTGGTCTCCTTAATTTCATCAAGTTCTTTTGTTGTATTACCTTTTCTAATCTCATCGAGACGTGATTTTATTCTATGAATTGATTGGCGAGAATGGAAAATTAAAATGCTGCGAAACTCACTAAATATTAATGATCATCGCTATCATCATCATCATCATCATCATCATCATCATCATCATCATCATCATCATCATCATCATCACTATCATCATCATCATCATCATCATCATCATCATCATCATCATCATCATCATCATCATCATCACTATTTAACACATTCAAACCTGTTATGTCGGTCCTCTAGATGTTCTTCGATTGCGTTCCATCTGTTTTTCAGTGCAATGACAGTTTTATTCACGTACTGAAGATCGTGTTTATCGAGACGGTTTTGATTGAAAATCTTCTCACCCGACGTTAGGACATCGATTGCTGAAGCCTGATATTCACGCCCTTCGTGCATGAACTCCTGATATATAAACAAGATGAAATAATGAAAGAAGAGAAGAGAAGAGAAGAGAAGAGAAGAGAAGAGAAGAGAAGAGAAGAGAAGAGAAGAGAAGAGAAGAGAAGAGAAGAGAAGAGAAGAGAAGAGAAGAGAAGAGAAGAAAAGAGAAGAGAAGAGAAGAAAAGAGAAGAGAAGAGAAGAAAAGAGAAGAGAAGAGACCTATATGGTACCTCGTTGTCTTGTAGCTGTTCCTCAAGAGTTGGTTGATCATTAGCAATCTGTCTTTCATTGTCAAGTAGTTTTTCACATTCAGCAAGCCATTGCAGCATGTTATCAGACTTAACCATCCATACTTTCAATGCTTTGTAGTTGTTGGAAATATCCACTACTAATTTCTCACACCTACATGTTTATACACAGATAGTTTAGCAATTATAACATAGACCATACTTTAGCAGAAAAACATTAACGAGGCACCAGAAACAAAAATCACCAGCATTAATCATAGATTTGTTTGTTCCACCAATTTTCAGTACCTGTCAACATAACGCAGTATTCGCTCATTAAGTTTATTCCAGCGAGAATTCAATAGGACAAGCTCTTCTCTTAGCTTCTCTGCTGACGGCTCTTCGAGTTCTCCGCCAACAACACGTGTGTTGCCGAGACCGATGAGCTTTTCGGTTGGTGGAATATTCTGCGCCAATCCGTCAACTAAAACCTTTGAATATAACAGCAAGTAGGATTCAGGAAACCAGTAGACAAATATCATCATTTAAGAAGAGAAATCTTGTCTGAAATAATTTTGAACAGTGACTGTTGTTAATGTTACGTGCACTTGAAACTAAGAAGCTCACCGCATAATCTTGCAGATGCTTGAAAAGTTCTTCCAGCTTGATCAGTTTTCTTGGAGACTTCCTCTTTAATGACACTTTCCCTGCCTTTGTGAAGTTCTTGATGTCTTTATGCTCTTTCGTTATCTCTCGTAGTTTGATAAGACAACTAAATGGAGATTTCATCAATCAATCAATCAATCAATCAATCAATCAATCAATCAATCAATCAATCAATCAATCAATAGTTACCCATTGATTTGCTGCTGACCACGTGATATATGTTGTTGCCATAACACTATATCATCATTCTGTACTCCTGGTAGACTATCTCTCTCTTGCTCGCCCTAAATAAACCATGTTGAAACAAATAGGTTAAGTAGAAGTATAGTCACGCAGGTCATGTTGTTCAAGGTTGGTTAATGAAGCGAATGACATAGAAATAACTGAATGCTTTGAATGCCATGGACTGCAACCAACAACAACGCGCACAATACTTGAAATCTGCAAGAACAACTGCGCAACTAAGAAATGATAAAATAATTGGAGCGCAAATAGTAATAAAATCGACCAATGTATGAGGACAAGATTTAAAGACTAAAGTTAAACAATCAGATTGCTGGAACTGGGATTCTCTTCCCCACCCCTCTCACTGTAGGGAGAAAAATTGTAATGACTGCTGACCTGGAACATGAAGTAGATTCCAGCTTTAGCTACAGCGTCTTCCAAGACTTTGAGATTTTTTGAATAGTTCGATGATACTCCCTTCCATTCTTTGAGAATTTCTTTTTGCCTGGTTGTTATAGAGTGATAAGAGTATTTCAAATGTGGTATGAAAATAATTGATATTGGTGTAGCTCTTTTAGATTCTTCACCCAAGTGTAAAATAAAGCGATAAATATCTTGTAAATTGTTTGACAAATATTATCTTTTGATTGACTTGATATCATTTAACTGAGGGCCAAACTTGTTGACACTATTTCAATAATACTCAATGATAACATTATTCATAGTTCATCCACGTCAAAACAGGAATGAAGGAAGGAAATGGCCTAAGAGCGAGTGCAATAAAAATCTAAATATACAATCTTATATACAAGAAAACAATGCAGTTAGCGATAACTAAAAGATTTGTTAGTGGAATATGTTTGTCACGGTTTTTTTGCCATCGTTCCACGACTATCTGTTGGATCTATTTGATTATCATACGAAACAATAATTTCGAGATAGTTCCATATAGTTGTAAATAGTTATGTTTTGAGTACAATGTTAGCATACTTATCACAGCAGTGCAATGACATTTGCAACAATCAACAACTTGCTTTTCAAGATAAATGGGCATTTAACACCCGAACACAAAGTTATAATGCTGTATTGTAAGCCAAATATTTACATATGAAATTTTATGTGTTAAATTAAAAAGTTATAGCTTCATATTATTCATATTTCATTGAGATTCCGTGTTTTGCCTCAACTTGTCAACTATCTATAAAAATTTTGTTGTTAAACTGTTCAAAGTGCTCAAGCAGTATTTAAAGTTAATTACCTGCGTTTATTCTGCTTCACAGAAGCCATGTCGCTTTATAATTGTAAAAGGTGCGTAAAAGCCACCGATGAAGCCAGTGTTTTGCAATAAACTCTACTTGATGTGGTTCAGTGATTCTTCACAGGGCTCTTGACTCAAAATCATTTGCATAGGAATTTCAATTGTTTGAAAACAATTGTTTAATTCAATAAAATATTTTAACCATTATCACATCATTTCCGAACATTTCGAGTCTTTTTGTTGACGTTGATAAAAAGCAATTAAAACTACGAAAAAATTTACACTGAAAAAGATTCAAAACGTTGCATCCTAATAGCACTACGGGCAACCCTGTGGATTATATTGGAAGACAGTGAAAAAAGGAATAAAACGTCATCAAAAATAGAAACCACTATTATAATCTATTAATACACCTTAGTCAACTCATGCTAGCAAGTTTAATCAATCTAATTTAATAGTAATTTTGACACGATGCAAAAAGGTTGCCAGCCCCCTTAATTCTTGGTAAGTCAGGTGATCATCTAAGGTATCATAGTGGCACGAGCCTGTTCGTGATCTCATTTATTGCGTGCGACAACGTTCACTTGTTGATCGCAAAGAGCCAATATCATGAGTTTTTCGCCCATGCGTAACACTCGAGGCTTTGAGATTTATTTTTGGCACAGTAAAAAATACATATATAGGAGGCAATAGCATAAGCAGACGACTAGAGTAATTTTCATCCGTCTGTGAAACAATTACTACTCAGTAGTCAGTGTTTAAGTAACTATTAGGGTGTAGTAGGCTACCAAAAGGCAAAACCAAAACCGTGTTTGCCTAATTAGTTTGTCGCATGTMATAAGTTAAACTATTGGGAGCTAATAGAGGGTAATAGTATTTAATAGTACAATTCATATTTCACAGACGGATGAAAATGACTCTGGCTAGTGGCAGACCATAGGTCCTCCACCAAGGATAAGTGTTTTTTCACGGATTTGACGATCTAACTTTAGTTTGATTTCAAGCCTTAATAGGTCTACGCAAAAATAATATCCCGTCCACCATTTCGGTTTCAATCATCATTGTACGCTTTAACGTCAAACAGCGTAGATTGAAAGATGAAACAAATAAGGAAAGAATAATCATCTTTATTGAATCCAAGTGTCGAGAGAAGTTGATGACTTATTAACAAATATTTATAACATTATCTTATTTTGATTAAAATAGAAAATGAACTTACAATAAATATCATGAAGAAATCTAGTTGACTTAGAATAGACGATTGGGATTCCTGTGTTGCACCAATCATACTTGATGCACCGATTCTTCAATGTGGGAATTCATTACGGTAGGTCAAACAGTCGGGTGATTGTCGTAATATGATCGTTAGTGCCTCGTGAGTTATTCGTTAAGTGCTCGTATGACTAATGTTTATTGCGCAAAGCGCATGCGTGATGCTTATGATTTCTTATCAAACTCCATGAAAAGTATGGAAATGACGTCATGAATATGTCGTGACGTCACAGAATTTAATGACGTGTGACGGACGTCAGCGAAATTCATTATTATTGTTGGCAAATTCCTAGTTTTTGCCGCATTACTCGAACCAAACAGCAGTCGCTTTTTCCAGGTTTTGGGTATCCACCGTCACTGAGGTTCTCAAGCTGTTCTGACACATTTCCCCATCGCTGGTTGAATGGTTTTAGTTCGTCGTTGATAAAGTCATATGAAGGCTGATCAACTGTTCCTTGGAGGTCTTTACCTAGACGGTTAATACGATCAACACGAACTTGGTAATTTGAGCGCTCGTCGCATTTGATCTACAATATGAAAGAACAGAGTTATTTTTTTTGGAAAGCTGAAAGAAATTAGAATGTTTAAATCTGTTTCAATGATCGGAAGCCATTTAAATGTCAGAAGCCACTGAAATACTAGAACCCATTCAATGTCCGAAACCAATCAAATGTTAGAAGCCATTCAAATGTTAGAAACTATTCAAATGTCAGAAACCAATCAAATGTTAGAAGCCATTCAAATGTTAGAAACTATTCAAATGTCAGAAACCAATCAAATGTTAGAAGCCATTCAAATGTAGAAGAAAAAAAAGACTTCTTAAAAGAAATTTAGGTTTTGGAAGATTTTAAATTGTGGGTATTGCGATTCTCATCCCAAGTAACAACCTCATTACGGGCTATCTTACATCTAGCTTTTCCTGTAGTCTTGTGGCTTCTTCTGAAGGCATTTCGACTTTAAAGCTGCCAAGTATTTCCTCAGTTTCATCCATCCACTGTACAACAGCGTCCATCTCTGAATGATACTCGGTCAGTTTGCTTTGAGATGTCTCAAGCTATCAAGGTAAACAATCATCAATCATTATTAATATTTCAATTTCAATTTTAGTTTATTCACACTTTTCTGATCATTATTTACATTCATGATTATTTTATTTTATTGGATATTTCTAATGTAATTTATAATACATCATTAATTTGAATTAGTGTACGGCAACCAAAGGAGCTAAAATGCTTTCGAGTTGGTTGCCGTAATTGTCAATTATGGGTCCAAAAAATAAAATATAAGTAAGGAAATAAGGAAAAGTTTGTGGTTAGCTTACTGTGTGTATTCACTATCAATAACTATTAATGATTATTAATATTTGGCGTTAGCTTACTGTGTGTTTAATAACTATTAATGATTATCAATATCTGTGGTTGGCTTACTGTATGTATTCTCTCAATCACTTGTTTAGCGATGCTATTCCAACATTCATCAAACTCGTCTAGTTGATGTTTAATGTCTTGACTGGTCTGGTCTTTCTCATGAACGTTTCTTAGTAAATCATCACCAGCCTTGTGTAAGTCTTGTAGCTTCATTCCTTGTTCATCTAACTTACTTTGAAGTTTCTATTGTGAAAATTATAACGATTATTAGAGAGAATCATCATATTTGCGTTACAGTAAAATTGCGTTACCTTCATTAAGTAACGCAACCCACCTTCAGTACATCCAAATGCTGATTTACTTGCTCCTCATTGGATAAATCAGTTGCTCCCATTTCTTTAAGAACCCTCTCTTTGGACGATAACCAGTTCAGTAACGCAATCTGCTCGTCTCGGAATTTCTCCCAGTTGCTGATAAGTCGTAATAGCCGAGTCCGCCGTTCTTCTGACCAGCGCCATAAGGCAGCCCATCGTTCACTGAGCGACTTTACCTGGCTTTGTACGCTTTGGTTGACGGCTGGGTCGGTGATGTCCAGATCAAGGATGATTGATACCATGGAATGCTCACGGATTTCATCCTGGAATTGCTGGAAATGACACAGGAAAACCGGTATAAAAACACAGGCAGCCCAATACATTTGATTATAGTCTGATCCAACTTATTAGACCTTTACGAGACCACGAATCAGCCGAATTTTGTTAAAAAATATCATAACATGAACGGCTCGTTTAACTTATAAAGGACCCACAACACAGATATCCCAATACAAGTTATGAAGGCCTCTTACCACAGGCAGCCCAGCTGTACTAACCTGATGTTCTTCCAGTTGCTGTTTGACTTTATCATAACCAGACTTGATATCGTCTGTTGTTCTCATTCTCTCCTCGGCCTTGAACAGCCAAGCATCCATTCGACCAAGGTGCTGTCGTAGAAGTACAATGTACGTATCGAACAACCTTACAGAGAAAATAATGTGAAGCTTATTGGAAACAAGGCAGTTGCACAAAATATCATTTATGCGATGAAAAAACAAGTATCGGGGAGGAAAGCGAAAACATTGGTGGAATATTCCCCTATATCGGGTATAATAAAACCGTATATCTATACGATAAATTTTGACATGACTTTTTATCGTGTATGTACGACAAATTACCTTTTGTGATTACTGTCAGCCTTCTCCAACATGGCTTCGTTTCGAGTGCCGATCTTGTCGATTCGTGGTCTGAAGTAGTCTTGCTCGTGTTTCTTGAAAAACCCGCCATCAACAAGACCATCGGCCTCGTCTATTATTGCATCAACTTCCTTCTTTGTCTCGTGTACCTCTTCCAAGTTAGACTGAAATCATATCGATCATCAATATTATTATTTTATGTGATTTAGTCATCCTTACATGATATCTATATCAACCCTCGCCATGCGGGCACCCCGGGATAACGAGCCCCGGTATTACGTGTAGTCAGTTATAACGTACCCCAGGGTATTAGGCACAACCCGGTATTACATGCAAGGGCGCGGTATTACAGTACTTCTTGACAATATCCATCCGTCGAGAAGCCCGGTATACATACTCACCGATATTCCGTGCGCCCCGATATTACGAAAGCACACCGGTACTATACGAACACTCCGGTATTATACGAACACACACCGGTATTATACAAACACACACCGGTATTATACAAACACACATCGGCATATCAAAGAATTGTATATCATTCGTGCGGGTTCCCTGTGCTTTTTAGTTTTGGGCTTCCTTTAGCGAATCCATGCCATATATGGAAACAAACAAAATGGCGGATTGTTTAGAAGTGTTTTCGCTATAATATCTGCAAGTTTCCGACGATTTCAAGCTTTAAAAGTCGAGAAAATCGACAAAAACCATTCCTATCGAACTTCCAAATAAGGTAAGATTACCATATATGGCTGCTAAACGAAGGATAACTTT